ATTCGCTTTGACTTGTAGCTTCCAAAAGGTGATTAGGACGCTTGCATTTAGTGGCCGTGAAAAAATCGGCAATTCATTTTATTTCAAAATTGTTGGTATGGTTTGATAGCCAGTTCTATAAGCTTTAATTTGATATAGGGGTTTAGGTAGCTACATCTTAAACCGGACGCGCTACATCGCTTGGACGCGAGACACCCCTGAAGGTATACGGTAACCTTAAGCCATGCGTTGCGTGATGCGCAGAACGTGTGCGCAGTAACAAAAGTAGGCACCGTCCTTAACAGCATAACTGTACATGTCAGCATTTTGTTGCATGAAACGATAGAAGATCTCCACTAACTTGTGGATTTCAAGTTATTATTAAAGTACTTCACTTTTGACAGCCCAACATTTCCTCAGTGCTGTAGTACTGTATGCCTATTCTATCAGGGACATCCATGCACACCACTTTGAGATCTCTTTCTGTTAGGCGGACAAGATGTTAGTTCGAGGCACTTAGACACCTTTTAATTTAGGCCTTGATTCATTATCAGAATAGAGATATTACACCTGACCAAAAATTCCAGCCTGCTTAACGAGCAATAGAACCTTAGAACTGAACTGCTTCAACAGTAATGACAAAGATGTAAAATCTTGCAAACATCCTGATTATATTTAGCCTGAGAACTGAATTCTAAAGTGACGTCAGGAAATATAGAATTTCCTTGCATATTGTATATTGATAGTCTGCATTAAGCGTTCAGTGTTTACTTGCAGTTCTGGATTTGTCGAGGAAAATGGATAGCGAGGAAACATATACTTATTTATACGCTATTCGAAAATAAATTGAACATCTAAAAATATATATGAATGTACGTATTACGTCGCAAGGTTAGGCAAAGTTCCACGAGTAAACCCTGGATTGCCTTTTTTTACTGTTGCACTGTTGTTAGTGACATATGCAAGTTAAGGTATCAAGTCCTACGTAAAAACGATAATTAATCGCTTAGTAATATTTATGAAAACTAGGGATGCTCTGTATAGTTTTGTATAGCAGTGAAATCGGCTGAAAAATAGACTTGTCCTTTGCTAAGGGAAGTGCTTTCGCAATAAAATGTACTTGGCTCACCTGTATCTTTTGAAATCCCGGCCGCAGTCGAACCGTAAAATGAGTATCGGAATAGCGTGCTAAAAATCCACGCCATTATGCGCGCTGTAGAGCTCACCACGACGTAAGCTAGCCAAAGTGTATATGTAGCAGACTTGAAAAGTAAACCAAGGGATTTGTACAGCATTTATACTGGCGTTATTTGTATAGTCTATATTAGTGCAACCGCGACAAACACTGGAGAGAAACCACCGGTAATATAAACACAAAACAAGCAATCTGATTGGCTCATTTTGAAACAGTTACCAGTCCGTGTGCAGTATGGCATGATTATAGGCATATAATTGAATTATCTCACGCATTTGTGTAAATCTTCAAGGGCAGTGAAGGAGTTGTAAGCCTTTTTTGTTTCAGTAGCTTACTCGAAACGCATAATACAGGCAATTATAAAACAGCGACGTTTTATATCACTTTTTCTATAACTATACTAAATTTGTCTCAAAATTTTCTTTGAAATGGATTTCGTTAATTCCCTTTCATTGTGCATAACGAATTACACTGTAACAGATCTGCGTCGCATTCTGCTAGGCCTACTTGTAAATTTATTGTGGTCGATAAGCTTGATTATTTGTGCTGGGTAGTTAATTATGGACGGGCATGCTCTGTAAAACCTCTGCCTTCATATTATAGATTGTTTTGCACCAGGTAAGTACACTTATGAAACCCTTTCATTTTCTACTACAGCCTCCTTTTCTTTCTCCCCCCAACATACCAGAAAGAAGCGCTCTCGCGAAGAGAACGGAAGTCTTTGAGGTAACAGCAGTTTATCGGGCAAGAGTCGGCCGCGATGTCGCGGTTAACTGGGAACTAGCGCCGACGCCGATCAACCGTTTGCAACATTATTGTATTTCCGAATCTTTGCTGTGGCATAGGCGATATTCTGGGATATCACTCTCATGAAAGAGTAGATTTAATGACCGGAAAATTTAGATTGGCAGAACTAGTCTTTTATAGGACGAACAGAACTTGAGTGTAATGGATGTTATTACATTAGTAATAATTTGGATACTTAAGCAAATGCTGCAGTCTGATCGGCTGAGGCATCGTACAGTATCCGCCATTAGTATGCAGTGGTATGGTAAAAAGGTGAAGTCTGCATACGAGCCAACTGACCCATCAGGCCGGAGCTCATCCCGGTTTCTGTAACATGAAGCAACTAGGAGTATTTCTACTCCCCCATGGATGGGACGCTAGTCCAACGCAGGGTTACCACCTCGTCAGAGGCGAGGTGACCTAATGGCTAGTGCGCTCGTCTCCGAATCGAGCGATCCGGGTTCGAGCCCTGGCCAGAGACATTGCGTTGTGTTCTTGGGCAAGACACTTTACTCTCACAGTGCCTCTCTCCACCCAGGTGTATACATGGGTACCAGCAAACTTAATGCTGAGGGTATCCAGTGGTATTATGTGGTATAATGTCTGTTAAATAGAAATCTTGACAGAATAATCTAATTGTTAATTAGTATCGTCGGCATCCGTCGATCTCTGGAGATCATGGGGCTGCGCCTTGGAGGTTGTTGTTCAGCTAATGATGGAACATCGCTCCCTGTGGCTGTACAGGCCGGTGCGGGAGTGGCAGTCTCTGCCGTACCCGCTGCAACTGAACGGGTGCTTTGGGGTGTGGTCCGTGGACTGTAGTTCCGCCGAGTGCGTCTGACTTGGTAACCTGTATCTACCTGGTTTCTGATCTGGTGAGACCAGCAGGTACTTCCTGTCTCCTCCTGATGCAGTCAGATACCAGCTCCTCCCATCCATTAACTTCAACTGACTCCAAGTTTCTTTTGCAGACGTCCCTGGAGCGAAGATGCGGGTGCCCACATACTTGTTTCGTGTGGCCAGTTCAGGCATGCACAAATCGCACAAAAAAAACAAAACAAAAACAAAAACCAAAAAAAAAACGGTGCTGTGAAAAGGTAGTCTTCTGTTGAGAGCAATGAAGTAAATTTTCGCTTAATTTTCTTTGTAAGAAGTACATTGTCAGACGAGAGGATAACTACAGTAGTTCTGCCAGACCACAAACACAAAAAAATTAACTGATAATAATATTAACATGATTATGTCCTGCCTTTTTAATACTGAATGACACTTGCATAATATATTCCGTGCGTTCTCTTTTACTATCAAACCTGTCTCAGAAGTCCTGTGAAAAGAATTGAAAGATGCAACGTTTTAAAATGAAGCAATTTAAAATATTGGGGAGAGTTGATACTCATTGATCTACATGTCGTGTTGTGTTCTTAACAAGCCTTTTCCTTTTACAGTTCTCCGTGCCACCCGGGTGCATTCCATTCACAAAGAGGAACAATATAGCTAATTGCTTTATGCTTCAAAAATTGGAATTCAGCTCTCGTACTAATGAAACGAACAGGTTTAACAACAGAGTAATATATTTCTAAAAATTTTGCATTTAATTATATCAACAGAATAAAATTTAAATTTGCAAACATTTCCCTCTGTAACCGCGAAATAGTATCTCTGTGTAATAGAAAGGGCCGAAAGGTTCCTCTGTATGATAGAAAGGACAAAAAGCTTCGCCGTTTAATAACTGAGAAACATTGCCTCTGCATAACAGAAAGGGCCAAAAACGTCGCCGTTTGATGAGGGGGCAGGGGGGCCTATTAGAAACCGAAAAACCGCGCAAAAAATCGTCCAAAGCCGCAACACCGCAATAAATTCCGTCCAAAACCGAAAACCGAAATAAAAACCCCCACTGACAAAGCTTTGGTAAGCTTCAGAATCTCTCTTTCTGTTATTTAATTTTTATACGTCTAAACGTTTTTTTTTTTTTTACCGAAGTTCTTTCTGCGTATTCCCTCGGTAGTCTAAAAAGTTGCTAATTTTTTGTAAATCGGCTCCATAGACCTATAGCAATGTCAAACTAAGAAAACAATTGCACGATTAAATGATTTTAGGTAATTTTTGTTTAAAAGAAACACCACATTCTGATTGCCATTGTCAGAATTTTTATTTGTGTAGGTTCAGTGGCAACCATTAGTTTTACAACCAAACTACCTTTTGTCTCTCCTTTGCTGTTATTTCACGTGAACGGAGCGAGTGAGCGCAATTTTATCCCCGTGACGAAAAGAGGAGAGAGACAACTCGCAATCGAGCTATAGAAACTGGATGGTCCACAATCTAGGGTCAAAGTCCCTAAGATATCATCCCAGCCGCGTGATATTTGAGAAATAGTCTTTTGCTTTAAAGTGCACCTAACCCCCCAAATTTTTTTCACTAAAACGAATCCACTTGTTATTTGAAATAGTTCTCCAAAAAAAATTTTTGGATTCCGTTAAATCCTCGATTTTCTGTGCCCCGACGAAATCCCGAAAATAGCTCCAAAACAGCGCCATTTTGTTTCACGACCGAGTTTGAGGAGAATGGGTCCAGCGGCTCTTGTGACGTCTACCCAGGAAGGTTGGATAT